TTGTATCTATAAATAATTCAAGGAGAACCAGCAGCTTTTTATGTTTGCTTTCCATGAACAATCGACCTGTTGACCTTTACTAACATGATGCAGTTGAGAAATGTAACGTAAGCACCATGTTTGGCAAAGGAATTCTGAATTAGATAAAACTGACTCTCAGCCTGAAACCTGGCCTGGTTGTTCTCTTGGGGCACGTCCGCAGTGTGCGTCACCGGCCCATGAGATGGGGTTGTATTTTCCGATGCTGTGATTTACTGAGAAGCATTTTGTTCATAGAAAATGAAATTAAGTCTGAGGAATAAGTGTTTTGCGATGAATTATTCACCTTGAGAAAGCGGTAGCATTTAGCAGCTATATTTTATTGACCTATATAGCACTTCTCACAGGTCCCAAAACACGCTGTGGTATTACAAATTAGGGGTCTCTGCAGATGCTCCGAAAATACTGCTAGAAAATGTCACCTACAAGGATATAGTATCATTCATCACCAAAATGAATGGGCCATCTGAGGTGTAAACTAGCAGCTCTTTTAAGAGCAACATGAAACAATTGCTTAAGGAAGTAGGATGCCATTTGTCTCAGAGCCACATGCTATTTTAGATGGACAGATCTGATTTGTTTTATTAGAAAGTGGCATTAGTATGGCATTTTACCAGCCATGTTATGAATGTACCAATCATTTTCATCAATAAAGTATGCTTGTGATCTAATACTTGTAAAAGAAAAACTATAATACCTCCTGAAACTTTTTTTAATATGGTACGATGTTTTTTAAAGAAAAGGGAAGCCAGACACGTCACTCATTATTTGATTTTTCAATTGACATTAAACACTTAATTCCATTTTGTTCCTTGGGGAAAAAGATCTTCTTCTTGGGCCAGCGCCAACTAAATCAGCATGTTATCTGTCTGCCCTCCTTATGCCAGCTAGCGAGATCTGAGTCACACTGAGGCAATCAAGTGGCAGTTTGCTCGAGCTCTCCTCCAAGGAACAACAATATTGTAATTTCTATGTATACAAGCATATGCATAACGCTTATTACACATGGGCATATCAAATGATTTAAAGTGTGGCTTAGTTTTTGAAAGGAACATATTATTGTATATTAATCATTGTCCTTGGAAGTTCCTTCATCAATTTACAGGACCTCTTCTGTGAATGCCAGTAATAATGATTTCACAAGCTGGGATGATGAAGACAAACATTAAATGTTGTTTACAACTACATTGGTCGTTGATTAAAAAAAACCCAAATCCTCATGCAGTCACAAGAACTCTGTCTGCAATCACCCTGCTTATCCAGCAAGTAAACCCTATGATGCCCTGCAAAAGCGCTCGTATGGCGCTGTAAGCCAGACTGGAAACTGAGAAGTTGAAATTTGTCCTTCTCGAAGCTGGTCGCCTGTCACCGTGCCGGGCACTGCTCTGCCCGCTGGCTGCACCCGCGGCGGGTGGGACACGGCTGTGAATGTGCCTTCTTCCATGGCTGGCACGCTACGGCCACCACCATGATCCAATCTAGCTAATCAAACTAGTTTGTGTCCTAAAGCGTAAATCCATGCCCTGTGGCTCAAACATCCTCTTGCGCTAATTGCGCTCCCTCTGGGATAGAAGAGATGGTTTTTCCACATCCGACGTGCTGCAGCCCCTAATGCAATATAATCTAACTAATTAAAACAGAGGCTTGAATAGAATGATCTCCATTTCATACCAACTAGAAACTAGATTCCTTAATGAAACCCATTTAAAGGAACGTTCATAATTTTCTTAAGTCACCCAGTGCACGTTGAGGTAGGGTTTGGGGAGCTTTGTGTTAGTTCTGTGTAATTTAGACAGGATGTATTTAGTGAAGCAACTGCTTCCTTCCACGATTACTGAATCATCCTATATTTGCACAGGGCTCTGCAAAATTTCAGGCAAAGCACTGAGGCATCTAAGCTGTACAGGACCACAATGAGCAGGGAGGATGCAGGCAATTCTTTTCTACCCAGAAAAGATGTTCTAAGACTCTAGACGGCGCTTACCTGTACACAGTATTTTCTTTATGAAGGTCTTCTAAGCCACAAAGAATCTCTGCTGCATAAAACAAAGCTCTTTCCTCCTCAAAGCCTGGGTTTCCCATGTTGTAGATATGAAACTTCAGGTCACCTCCATTCATTATGGTCAGAACTAAACACAGTGCATCCTTTGTTTCATAGGCGTAGGCTAAATTGACCTAGAAAAACATTTGTAGCATAGTTGTGACAGTTCAGTTAGTTGCTAAGAAGAAAGCAGTAACTTTTCATTAAAGATTTTCTCTAGAAAAGGAAAAAACCACATTGACTGAATTTGATATGGGCCTGATTACAATAGCAAATGTACATTTTAAAAGTACAGAAAAATCAGATGTTAGGATTTTGTAGATCAATTTGTTGAATCCAGCCTATTCATCGTCAGAAACCCTCAAGGGTAATGCTCAGGTAGCTTCACAGGCTGGACAAACATACTAATTCCAGGCATACTTTTCCATGTAAGAGATATCTTAATAATCAAAGGAATCTACACCTCCCGCTGCACTGGTTTGCTGGGTAGCTGTCAAAAAACTATCATCTCAGTAGGTTCCCAGGAAGGCCCAGGTAGCGTGGACCAGCCCTGTGGTGCTCAAACGGACCATCACTGAGTCATGAAGGTCAGCATCACCCCTGCGAGGCTCTGGCGGCTGTCCCAGGAACAATCAGACAAGCCAAAAGCTACCCAGTACTTTTAAGTATGTGCCATCATCTTTGCTTCTGCCAGAGGTAAGTAAACATCTTGCATCTGTTGTTTTCACAGTGTTTCCTAAAATAAATGTAAAGAACACGACAGATGCTGAGGTAACAACACCTTTTTCCTTTAAAATCAAAGGCAAGTTTTTAAAGAGACACAAGAGCTAGCATGACTCAGGAAAGCCCTACATCAGGCAGACCAGCTCCACATCACTGCTTAGATGCTTCTACCAGCCAATCTCTTCTGATCTATTTGGGTTAAATCTCCCTCAGTCTCCTCCAAGTTCCCCTCTCCCAGACACTGGGAATTCAGGTAATCACTCTGGATAAAAACAGCTCAGCCTGATGCAGCCCTGATGCCAGTCAAGGCTCTAAAATGCATCATGTTCCCATAGTAGGGACACCTTGGTTGGTGCATTTCTCACAGATCAGAGACTAAAATGAGACCCGGCAAAGGTGCCTGGGGCAGGACTAAGGTGCAAAGTGAAGGGTGTCAGCTTCTGGCACCTTCCCTGTAGCAGGAGTTGGAGGAGGCATCGGATCCAACAAGAACAGTGCTCAGCAGGTGAGCAGGGAGCTGAGCGCTAGGGAGTTCAATACTCACTACAAACTGACTATTGACTTTTTCTAAAATCTGCTTTTCATTTAGTGCCATGGATTCGCCTTTCCGCTTTTTTATTCTCTTCTTCTCTAATCTCTTGCAGGCGTACATCTTCCCTGTCGCTCGGACTTGGCAAGCGCAGACCTGCGAATTAAAGAGAACAATTGCTGGGTAATTCGAAGCAAACGCTGTGTCTGGGTTGCACTTTACTCCTCACGATCTGATCTGATTTAGTCCTTTTAAGGTTAGAGACGGCGGCGTAGCGAATAAAGCACAGGCGGGGGCAGCTGGGGAACCGACTACTGTTTCCAAACCTGCTATGTAATATTGGTTTAATTATTTCACTTTCCTCCGCCTGCTTCCTATCCCACCTCCTTTAGTCTGTGCCCATTGTAATCTGCTCCGCTGAAGCCTGTCCGCACCTCCTCGGACTCCGCTGCTGAGGCAGCGACCTCGGGCCATCGGTAAAATATGAAGAAGGGTGTGACCCTAATTCCACTGTGAATGCAACAGTCGAATACAAAATAATTCTCAAAAGTGTTCTTTTGAGATTACGGTGTCATGAGAGGTTAGGAAAAACTGTCAGCAATTAATGAAAATCAGCCTCTGTCGCATCAGGCTCCTGTAACCTGCAGTGCCTGAGAAGTAAGAAACAGTCTTAACAGAAACTTTCAGAATTACTCACCTCCCCAAAGCCGCCTTTCCCTAGTACCCTGTACTGCCGAAACGTGTTTTTCGTTACTGGTTGCCTGGAAGAAAAGGAAATGAAAAAAAACAAAAAACAAGACACACTACATTTAATGCACTCTCCATGATTTATTTATTTCAGAGTATACTTTTGAAAAGCAAAATAGATAAATATTATATAATCACATTATTTCAAGGTAATCATATTATATAATGTAATATATAATTATGTAATTACATTACTTCAATACTATGTATGGCTTGAACTTTTCAATTCCAACATATTAAGCTGTAATAAAATACAACACATTAGTGAGTCATCAGTATAATTTCTGCTAGCATCTTAGGACCAAGGAGGTTCTGAATCTCCATTATATAGCTTTGGTCTTTGTTAAGCAAAGAGGCCTGAGAGCTTCCAACAAGACATTAATTCTCATGATATATAGGATTTTTTTAAGGATAGTGCTGGGCTAACACTTTATTGCTTTGCTTGGTCTTCAAGACGAGAAAAAGAGCTCCAAAATTCAACCCACCAGAAAATATTTCTGGTGTCTTGACCTTAAACAAAACAGGAAACTGATGTGAAACAAGGAAAGAAACGATCCCAGGAACGGGAGAGGTGGGTTTAGGTGCCGTTCGCAGGAGGGGAGAGCAGGAAGCCGAGCTCCAATCAGTCCGGCCCCGCCACGGGTACCTGCCTCCTGGGAGAGCATCAGCAGTAAGAAGGAATGAAAAACATCTCTTCCCTTTTAAAGGCCAAATTAAGGGTTAAATAAGTCTGTCTCTGTTTCTGAGGGCAGAGTGCTCCCTGACAATCACTAGACAGCATTATTATATGATCTCACAGGATTCCCACAAAATTCTGCTCTACCAAAATGGCTCCAGCCCTACATGTAACTTATTCTTTGTTACCATAAAAGTTTTATAAGGTGATAGAATAAGAACTCTAGATTCAGAGAGATCCGATTTTGTATCCACCACTCCATCACCGAAGTTTTACAATTATATTAGTCATCGATATGGATATTCCTACCGGCTTTGTTTTCCTCTGGCGGGCAGCCAGCCGGCAGAAGGAGCACAAAAACGTGGCTGTTCCCACAACAGTGATGATGAAGTTGATGGCAGTAAGGAATAAATGTTAAAATGAATTCTTTCAGTTATGTACATTATTGGTTTTAAAAGTGGGGGAAGAAAAACATGCAGAAGGCCAAAACTGGAAGAAGAAAATATGCTACTTTCAGGCTTCTGTGAGGATACTGCAAATGCTATTGGGGTTAAAAGCAACAATTAGCAGTGGTAACTACACGCTCAGCAATGTCCCTGGAATAAATGGACCGTGTGACTCCTCCGTTGGAACCAGCAGGCTGTCAGAAGGATCTGATGATCACTGTGCTACTAACATCTCTTCGCTAATTCTAAAAACAGTTCTCCCAGCTTCTTAAGCCAGGCATATCCAACCGCCTGTCACATTCGTTGGGGGAATGGAAAAAGAAAATCCTCAAAGCATTTCAGAAAATTCCTTATCCCAAATGTGAAAAAAGATAGGAAATAGCCTGGCTAGAGATGAATCATCTGATGGGGTTTTTTTTAATTGAAATGGAAGAGTAAATGCTGGATTCAGTAAAGATGGCATGTGGAGCATGTCTTGGCATGAAATGGCTCTCCTCTCTGCCCACCGCTTCCCTTCCCTCTTGTGCAGCAGCTTTGTAGCTTTCCAGGGAGAGGAACTGGCACAGCTCCTTTGATCTCTGAGGCATCATGCTGATACACACCGCTCATGGATCTGGCCCTAACTCATCTGCCGTAATTAATTCCATTTGTGGAAACCGGGGCTTCTCTCAACTCAAGGTCACTGTTACCCAGCAGTGTACGTCTGCTACAGCCCTCACCGACAAGGAGAAGGCAAAGAGCCCTCTCCTTGCAAATTAATACCCACTAAGGCTGCCTGGTTATTAAATGTGCTCAGAAATGTGTAGCCAGTAAATATGGTGCGAGGACATATATGCCATACTTTTGTCTGTTTATAGTGATTTAACAACAGTGATAACTGGTCCAGACAAAAAGTCACCGTATTCAGAGTGTAGCTAAACAGAAAGACAACCGAAGTTGCTGAATGTACTTTAATTGTACCTAACGTGCCTAATGTACCTAATACCATTAAATGGCCGAATACTTGAGCTTTAGAAGCCAAAACAGGCTCCCTGGTGTTTTGGGGTGGATTTCTGTTTTATTCTTTACTTCCCTAGCAAGCAGCATCTGTTTCAGTCTTGCTTAGGCACAGTGTTTGCAAATGCAAATGTCAGAGACTGGATGCTTATCTTACATTTAGCATTATAGATGCACAAGGGTAGGTTATAAAAAAGTGCAATGTGTCCTTCAAGCTGTGCCATGAGTAGCTTGTGGTGACAGGGCCTATGGTGAAATTGGCCACAGACATTTCTCAGAGCACAGGAGATTTGGATGCCTATTTTTTTACAGGCTGTAGGTCTTTTCCTATTCACTTGCCGTGCACAAACGTACTGTGCAAAAAAGGTGCCTAAGCAGCTTGCTGGAGCATGTCACCTTCAGGAGTGCAAGAGAAGGGAGCGGTTGAGGAGTACTCATAGGTGTAAGCACACTCACGGAGGATGAAGGGGAGCTATCCATATCCCAGACACCAATTGCATTCATTGGATCGTCACAGCTGGAGACTCAGCTCATGGTTAAATTGAGTCTAATGCCAATATAACTGTGACTTTTCTATATGGCATTTTCCTGTGGCTAAAGCTATTACCTCTTCCTGAACCTTCTAACAATGAACACTTAAAAACAAATGCTAAAATTAGGAAAGCCTTCCTGGAGTTCTGTGGGAGAGCTTCCCTGGAGTGGAGCTCAGGGAAATGGGGAACGAGTCTTGATGGACCTTCCTGAAGGAGAAGAGTGAAAAGAGAAAAAGAATTGCTGCACAAAGAGGGCCATAAATGGCAAACATTAGGATGAGGCATTGGTAACAATGAAGAAAGGCCAAACTGTCTTGAAGGCAAAGGGAGCAAACATACTATCTCAGCGGTCAGATTTTAAGCGTATTCTACAGACTTTGCACGGAAAGCAAAAATAAACCCTTTGTATTCATTTTTAATTTAAAAAAAAAATTGTGACACTTACCTTTCCAACCATTTCCACTGGAGAAACCTGTCGAAGTACATGCTGTTTAGGTATTCTTGGAATGGTTCCCCACTCAGGTGGTCAAGGACAGATCTATCTCAGATGAAAAGGATATATAAGCATTTTATAATCCTGAACTTGGAGCAAAACAGAAACAGAACAAGAGGAGAAAATCCAGACTTCTTGTATGGTAGGATCATTTCACTTCTACTTTATTTTGTACTTTATTTTACTCATAGTTTCAGACTAGGAACAAAGTGATATGTTTGATTTATTTCATAACAGGAGGCCTTATACAAGCTGAACAGTAATACGTACTGGTTACGCTTGCTGAAAATTAACAGGGTGTCTCCCACTGACTTCAATGGACTTTTACAAAGGCTGTTAGTCACTAGACAACAAACGTCTTTGCTTCTGTTATTAAATTAACACCCTCAGGAACCGAGCTCCTAAACTTTGGGGGATGTTTACCACTGGATTGAAAATTTCTAGCTGAAGCTCATTTCTGTCAAAGAGGGACTATCAGAGGTGTTATTTTGAGTAAGAAAAATCAATATTTCAATTCCTGCTATAGAGAAGAAGTAGTAACTGTGATTAAAGTCAAAGGGCTTTTCCTAACAGCTATGTGCTTTGTAGAGTAAAACAGAGGAAAGAAAGTCTGAAAAGGGGTGAGGATTTGTTTCTGGATCAAGAAAAGAATTTTTGGGCTCATGCGGTGGATGCAAAGTCTTTTGCATAATCAAAGGAATAAAGGAATAAAAAGGCCAGTCTGCAAATGTGAGAAATATGTTGCTTGTGACGGGCAACAAGCAGCCAGAGACCAGCAGACAGCTCATAAGAAAGGCCAAGGGTTCAGAGCTAAGAAAAGATGGGCTGAGCTGAGAGCGCTGCCTGAGATGAAGGTGGTTGTGTTTAACACGGGGGTCGTTCACCTCCTGGGTTTGGTTCTTGCCTTGCTTACTGGGGCTCCTGCACCCACCTCTGCTGGCAGCATTGGTGAGGACAACACTCGGTTTTGGGTGAAAAATGCCCACAAGAAATTAGTATTTCTTTCTCGGTGTATACAGACACTTTTGTGTCTGTATCTAAGGGTATACGGACACATTTCCAGATTTTGCTGGAGGAGGAAATCCTCTCTGAAGGACTACTCTGGTTTGGGAATGGATAATCTATGTCTTACTCTGGGGCAGTTCTAGACCTGAGCAAACAATTCACCACGAATAATGTGTCTCCTCAGTTTAGTTCCTCCCTGTTCATGAGTTTTTGGAATTTCTTAGCTGTTTGAATATTTTTTGGTAATTCTTGCACCATCTATTTGGAACAGGCAGGTAATTGCACATATTCAGCATTCAGAAGTCGAATTGTTGTTGTCTTCATTAACTTTGATTGGACACAGATCATACAGTTTCTCCTAAGTGGTTTCAAGCTTACAAAATAAAATAAAAAGTATGTCTTAATGAACTTTAAAAAATGTCCAAATTCAAAGGCAAAATTCTAAGGGAAATTGGAGGGGGGCAGGAGCAGACAGTCAAAATATGAAAGGTCAAAGCAGAAGTTAGAGCTCTCCATGCGTTTCTCCCACAGACTGATCTTATCTATGAAGATGTGTCTGAAACTCATCCCTGTTCCTGCTCTTACAGGATAGCAAGCTTCACATTTGTATGTATGCCTCCCTTTTTTGGTCCGACTGTGAACTCTTCCAAAATTAACATTATTCAGTACATTTAGTAAATACCAACAGCAAGTTTTTAAAACTTCCTTTTGACCCCATTTCGGTCCATGTGAAATGATCAGCATATTTATTAACAAGGTCTCAAACCTGGCTCATTTATCTGTTTCAGTTGAGACGAAGGAATGGCTGTCACTGAATACAAGCCTGAATTAAGTGGTGTCCAACGCTAGCCTATTCCATTCAGTTAATTAAAAGCTGCACGTATTTTAAAGAACAATAGCTGCCTTTCAGCAGTTGTTTGCTTTTTAGTTCCCCTCTTTGGCAACAACAAAGTGCATTTTAGAGGGAACTGTCAGCTTTTAAACCGATTTGAGAACTGGGAACAGGCATCAGGGGGGTTTGTGTCGAGCACAGCTCTGCCTTTGTCACTGGGACTGGCACACACAACTGGTGCGAGTTATACAAGCATCTCTACATGACACCAGGCCAATGCAAGGAAACTGGTTATGTTATAAGAGAAGGCCAGAAATAACCCACATCTCCTACCAACGCAAAGAATAACTGAAAACAGAAAAGGTCAATGAAATGAGTCAAAACAATGAATGACAGCAGAGCGAATTTTACAAATCCCCATTACATCATCCAGGGAAAACAAACCGTGCTCAGCCAGAAACCACATGGGCCGGCTTGTGATGGTCCCTCCTTTTCATATTTTTATTGGTTTATGATCTACTGGCATGAACATACTCAGGTCAGTGTTTGCAAATGCAGATTGCATACCTGGAGCTTTAGCACATAATAATACAAATCACCTCGCCGCTACAAAAACTGAGAAGCCTCTTCCCAGGCAAAGGATGAAATAACGCGCATTCGTTTGAACACCACAGAGAGACAGAAAGCATTAAAAAAGCCCCATTCTCCTGGTGAAGATTTTCTGGAAAAGCCATGTGGAGCAAGTTTGCACATTCCTCTGTCTAAATGGACTGTATAGCCACTTAATTTTTATTCACTTTGAAACAGAGATGTTTTCTTTGGATACATTACTATTGTAGCTCTTTTCACACAGCATGAAATCCATGGCTGGTTTACTTGGCTAGAACACTCTGTCAAATACCTGAAACACTAAGTGCCTGTGTGTAGTGTATATAATGGCATGGAAATATTTATTATATTTTGTTCAGCTGAAATGACTTCATTGCTTGTCAGCTATGCCTCTAGGATCAGGAACATAGGCTGAAGATACCTGCTTCACGTTCAAATTGAAATGTTTCCCTTTACCTGACGCATTCCTTACAAGCTGGTGACTGCAGCCCTGCAGTCTTTGGGTACCGAGTTATACTTACTTTGTACAGTGAGAGAATAGCTCTTTGCAGGGGCTGTTTTCGAGTTTCTCCTCTGCCTGTTGGATAAGATCTTGACTGACTTCGGGAACACAGGCTGGAGACTGGGGAGAGAAGAGAAGGGCACATTATGTCTGCCCAGAGCTGCTTCCATTCAATTCCAGTGGTTGTGTAAAAGCAAAGGGGCTTTACGTCAAACAGCAGTAAAATAGGATACCGTGGTAACTCGCTCCACATTCCACTCTATCCTCACATTGCTTTTCTGCCTTCTCCGGTACCTTCACCTCCTTGCCCAGCCTCATGAATATGCAGGACCCACTCCTTGCCAATTCTTTGAACTGCTCCCTTGCATCCCATGAAAAATGTGCTGGCTTGAACTGTGTACAGGCCATTCTCTTAAACAAAAGAGAATTTGCCCAGTGTTTTCATTTCATTGATGATTCATTGTGCTGTCTGAAAAATCCATTTATTTTCTTTTTTTTACCTCCTTGCCCAGCCTCATGAATATGCAGGACCCACTCCTTGCCAATTCTTTGAACTGCTCCCTTGCATCCCATGAAAAATGTGCTGGCTTGAACTGTGTACAGGCCATTCTCTTAAACAAAAGAGAATTTGCCCAGTGTTTTCATTTCATTGATGATTCATTGTGCTGTCTGAAAAATCCATTTATTTTCTTTTTTTTTTTTACCAGCAAAGCAAAACAACAGCAGAGCGTTGGTATTTATTGATTTATATATAAGTAATATAAAAAGATGCTCGCAAAAGTGTCTGGACACGTTAATTCATCATTAGAAGGACAAAAATAATCCAACAGTTTTGAAATAATCATTTCAAAAAGGAACTCTGCCAACCAAGCACATAAAGTCTTTTCATCCTCTCCTCCTTCTAGAGAGAATGTACATTCAGCCCCTTCAAAAAGCCCTTACCAAAGAAAGGTCTTTTGCAATATGCCTTGATGGTTAACCAGTTTAGGACCTTCGGGACTAATTATCTATAAAGACAGTTTTTAGGCAGTCCACATTCTTACTCATTGACAGTATACTGTAATTATATAAAAAGGTGTATACGCATGTGTGCGTATGCACGTATTTATAGACATTTCTCCCACTGACATGAAAGCCCCTTTATATAACCAATTGAATTTGGGTACTTTCAATAAATCCAGCCACAGATGTCAAAATCCTCTTTCCTCGCAGAAGCCTTAGTACTCGGTAAGGTTCCCCATCCATGGCCACGACCACCAGATGTGCTGAGTGGGTGGGTCACAGAGCATCATCGCTCATTCCTGGCCAGATGTTCTCATTAACTCACCCTTAGATGGGGATATCTTGGCAAGCACTGAAATGCACTGCAGGCAGAGTTCAAAAACACTGGGAATGAGGACAGAGGAAGGGGCAGAGGTGGAGCCAGAGAAAATCTCCAGCATGGTGAAAGCTGAATTAAGTCTTTTATCTTTCCTTCCCACTGTTGAAATGTGAATATGATCTTGGTTGTGACATGAAAAAGTAAGTTTGTTCCACTTGAATGTTTTTAAATAGGAACATGGCTTACAGAACTGTCTGTGCATGCTGCGTAATGCAGTCTCACTATTCAACCTTGACAGACAATTTGCAGAACATGCTGGATATCTTTGACCTCACTGAAATATTTCCTCATTTCCTCCACATATTCCTCCATTTCCTCAAAAAAAGGTATCTAGGGAACGCCCACTTTTAATCACAGACAGAGTATACGGTTAATCTAAGAAGTGTCACAGTTTCTTGAGAGGCAGATGAGGCCCCACATTATCACCTAAAAGAGACAAAGCCAGATTTTTCTCAGCCACTGAGGGTGACAGGAACTGAGAACTGTAGAACAAGCCTCAGTAAATCAGACAGCTTACAGAAATTCCTAACTGTAGATGTCCATGACTAAATCTAAGACCCAGTTTTAGTTCAAGAGAGTAAGTAGAGGCAACAGTGAAGCAGTGGAAGAATAGGAAAAAAACCTCAAAAGTCCTGTTTTCCAGTCCTACAGCTGCTGCATTGAAACTACCGGGGAAAAAAAAAAAAGAGAAACAAAAAGACTTTTAAAGCAATATTCAGACACAAACCAAAGCCTAATGATTACCAGTATTTCAGCTGATTTCAGCTAGGAACTGTATGAATTAATAGCTGCACTTCATAGTTTGCATACTCAATGGGGTGTGTACACAAGCTCATCAGCAGCCCAAAGCTCGTACATGGCTGCGTGAGTCCACTGCTTGGAGACCTGGTTATCTTGAACATCTCTCTGATTTACAGGGTACAGAAACACCACTGAACTCCACAGCCTTTGTACTGCTGTGAAACAGGGGTGTCTTCCAATGTGGATGGAGTTGCACTTCAGTAACATTGATACTTGGGCCTCTAATTGAAGTTACTACTAATTAAATCTAAAACTTGTCTGCATTTATAGGCCAAAACTGGGATACAAAAGCTAAGTACAAAACCTCGTAATTAGTCATTTAGACCGAGTGACCTGATTCTTATTCATGCCAGGCAACCACATTTCCCATTGGGAATTCATTTCCTAATGGGAGGTAAGCTGCCTTGAGGTTAGTGTTGAAGATCATGCCCATGATGCATTATTATAGCAATAATTCCATCAAATTTTGTCTGAGGTCAAAGTACATTAAAAAAAATAATTAGAAGTATCAGCTACCTCTTTTTCATAAAGAAGAAATGAAATTCTTAAAGGGAAAGGGGAGAAGAATGAGCACAAGAAACTGTAAGACAATGTGGGAAGTATTTAAAATTGGCACGAACTGTGATTCGTCTCTCCAAGTTTGTGGGAGATACAGTCACCACTTGATTTTTCAAAACCACTCAGTGCTGACCTTTGAATCTTTGCTTCCTCTGAGCAAATCGAGAGCAAGCTAGCAATATCAAGGTAGGTAAAGACATAAATACACTGACATCCAGTACACGGACTAAAGCCTTACAGTGTAGTGCAAACACTTTACTAGACCACTTCATTTTCTATAACAAAAACCTACTTTTTTTTCACAGGCTGATCATTTCCAAAGGTTTCGTAGGCCCAGCAAAACATTTTGTGTCATTATGCAGCCCTTCATAGTGTTCAGGGAAGAGCAGCTGCACCACGTGGACGGGAGGAGTATACCCAACCCTTTCCAACTCTGCGTATAGCTCTAGGGGGTCTTTGTATGAGCCTTCCTGAGATTGTCCTTGAGACTTCATAGGTCCCACTGCTCCCATTAAATAACCATGACTGCCATTTCCCCTGTTTGAGTACCGTGCATACCTACAGCCTTCAAATGTTCAAACAAAGCCAGAAACAATTACAGGCCAAAACCCAACCCACCAACCTACTTTTACTCCCCTGGAGAACAATTAGGTAGCACAGGTTATGAGTGTAAGAAAGCATTTGAATCCCAAGAGCCAAAGTTTCCAAAGGTAACACCTTGGCCACTTACAGAAGAAAAAGTTGCTTCTTCCCTGGAGAGGTGCAAAAGATTTCTGCAGCCCCAATGAAATGGTTATTAACACCGTTCTCCCACTGCATTATGGGTAGTGGCTGTAAAAGCAAATTCGGCTTTTACAGGGGAACAGAGACACCTTTTCCAACATGTTTAACGTCCTGAGGCAGCTAGGAGAGCTGTACACCACGATTAAGGCCATTACATCTGAGCATGTGGCAAAGAATATTCTGCTAACTCTTCAGAAACACCTGCAGAAACCTTTTACGTTTTCTTGTATTCAAAACAAAACGCTGGGTACTTTTAATGAGTACAGTCCTATATTTCCTCTAACGGCTATTCTGTTTCCTGAAGGCAAAGAAAGCGATTATAGATCTCACTTATGATAATGTCAATCAGAAATTATGCCAATCAAGTCAACAGAGTAACACTAGGGTAAAGGTGATGGAACCAAAACCATGGCCCAAAACTGGCAGTGCAAAAAGTGCTTAAATTAATCCAACAACAAAAATTTCTCTCATTACATTATCCTTTTTGACCAGACCATTTAATAAAAGTCCAAAAGTCCAAACTATTTTCACCAGGTTTTAATCAAAATCTCCTGTCTCCTGTATCTTCTCATTTATGGCCAGAAACTGAAAACCTTTATATAAATATTTTGCTGGCAAAGCCACATCTCAGTTTTGTGATGCCCTCTTGTTTAATTTTAAAGAAAAGAACGCAACTAGGAATTGGATTAGTGATTATCTGAGAAACAAGAAATGCATATTCAGTTACTTCTGAGTGCCATTAACACACTCTGAGAAAAAAAGTCTCCACTTCTAAATTTTCTAACTTAAAAGACAAAAAGAGGTCCTCCCAGCTGCTCTCCCATTTCAGTAAATGGCATGAAAACAGCTGAGATGTTATGCCGCACTTGTTCAAGGTTAGTTGCGTTCGTGCCCACAAGAATTTGGCGATTGCTATTTGTTTCAAAATAAGCCTCTGGGCCTGCAAGACACTTCCCATATTTTGCTGAGAGGTTGATTGTGGCTTCTCCTCTTTCATCTCCTCCTCAACAGGATGCAACCACTGATAAAGAGCACGGTGGCTAGGTTTGAAGCTGGATGCAATATCACCTATAAATACCAGGTTCTTGGTGGGAGCGGAGAGCATTGCAAGCCAAATGCAATCTGGTCTTTCCTGCACTAGCGCAGTTGTCCCCGGCAGCCAGAATGCCAGGAGACCCTTGCCAGGCACCTGTGTGTGTGCTGTGTCTGGCACTGCCCACATCCCAGCACTCTGCACCTCACTGAAGTACTGAAAAGCAGTAAAACCTGATTCAGATCAGATGAACGCTTCCAGGCTGTGTAACTCCCTATTACCTGTTATTTTGAATGTCACGTTGCATCACTGTGCTTTAAAATGTGAACTTTCCTTTTCTGACAGCTCTGTAAGTTTTGCTGCAGGCTACTTCACTCAGCCCTTCAAGCCACAGGATTTGTTGACCTTCACTGAACAGGACAGCAAACAAGCCTTCTCATAAAACCATCTCTATACGTTTGCCATGGTACTTACAACGTATCTCTGATGGTGTTTCCCCTGTGACTGTGTGGAGGACACCTGACCTTTTGTCAATCTATCAGCTAAGCAAATTCTTTACAAAAC